TTGGGGTCCAGCCCCAGCAGTCCAGGAGTTCCCAAAGGTGTGGATGGAGTCGGTGAAGAAGGAATGACAGCATGGTTGACCAGCATGGTTGGGTTCTCTCGCCTGGTTCTATCCAGGATCCCCAGCCAGGTTCTGTGTCTTATTGTCTTGTTACATCTGTATTTATACCAGTTGATTTTAATCCTATCAATTTCTATTCCAAGAGTTAGGGCGTTTCTTATCTCCATTCCAGAGAGTAAAGATTATGTAGCTTAAGCGTGATTGTTCCTAGTTACCGTGATTAACTACCCGCCTGGCACTTAGTTAAGGGGTTTTATTCCCTCCCTAACTTCAGGGAAAAATCCCTACCTGGGGAAACAACCTTCTTGGAGAGGTGACCTTGGTTAAAACACATAGCGCCAAGAAGGTGAGCAAACATATTAAGAACAGTATGCCATATACGCCAGGTCCCTTGAAACATATGCTGTGCAGATGTTTCTTCCCTGCTGCAACTGTGTCAAGCAGCAAGGATGGACCGGCTTCCGGCACATCAGGGCCCTGCTTATATGCCGTTTCCTCAAAAAGACCTTCCCTGGCCACCACATCTAAAACAGCACCTTTTACTATTGAGCTGCAGCTTCCTTCCTAGCATGTATCTCTACCTGAAATGATAGTATATATTTATAGTCTGCTTCTCCCGCTACAGTGTCACCTCCCCGAGGGAACAAATCTGTGTCTTGTTCGCTGTTATGTTTGCAGCCCCCAGCACTGTGCCTGGCACAGAGAGAGTGTTCAGTCATTGTTTGCTGGTTGAGTCATGAGGAGCCACGGAAGTGTTTTAGTGGGAGAGCAAAATACTCAGGTTTGTACTTGGGAAAGCTGTGTGTGGCCACAGGATGGAGAAAGGATTGGACATTGTGGTCAAAATTTAGGTGAGCCCTAGCTGGTTTGGCTCGGTGGATAGAGCATCAGCCTGCGGACAAAAGGGTCCCAGGTTCCATTCCGGTCAAGGGCACCTGCCTGGGTTGCGGGCTCGGTCCAACCTGCAGGAGGCAGCCAATCAATGATTCCCTCTCATCAATGTTTCTCTCTCTTCCTCTCCTTTCCTCTCTGAAACCAATAAAAATATATTTTTTAAAAATTTAGGTGAAAGGCCCTAGCTGGTTTGACTCAGTGGATAGAGTGTTGGCTCACGGACTGAAGGGTCCTGGGTTCGATTCCGGTCAAGGGCACATACCGGTTACGGGCCCAATCCCCCGCCCTTGAGCCTTGGTCTGGTGCATGCGGGAGGTAACCAATGGATTTGTCTCTCTCACATTGATGTTTCTGTCTCTCCCCCTCCCTTCCACTCTCTCTAAAAATCAATGGAATAATATCCTTGGGTGAGGATTAACAAACTTTAGGTCAGGAGTCCTCAAACTTTTTAAACAGGGGGCCAGTTCACTGTCCCTCAGACCGTTGGAGGGCCGGACTATAGTTTAAAAAAAAAAACTATGAACAAATTCCTATGCACACTGCACATATCTTATTTTGAAGTAAAAAAACAAAACGGGAACAAATACAATATTTGTATTTGCATGTGGCCCGCGGGCCGTAGTTTGAGGACCCCTGCTTTAGGTGAAAGGACTTACCTGTCCTCACAGCTAATAAGCCTACCAGAGCTCATTCACTAACTCCCTTACTCTGGAAGTTTTTATTGAGCACCTACTCTGCTCCAGGCCTTGTACTCTATGTTCGTTAGGAGATTACCAAGTTCTCCTCTTGGGCTGGGATTCTGGGAGTCATGACCATAAGTAGCTGTCACGCTTTGCCGAAGCTAACCTGCACCATAAAAAGGGGGCGCTCAGCCTCACAGGTTTGGCTCAGTGGATAGAGCGTCGGCCTGCAGACTGAAGGGTCCCGGGTTCGATTCCGGTCAAGGGCATGTACCTTGGTTGCAGGCACGTCCCCAGTGGGAGTGTGCAGGAGGCAACTGTTCGATGTTTCTCTCTTATCGATGTTTCTGACTCTCTATTCCTCTCCCTTCCTCTCTGCAAAAAATCAATAAAATATATTTTAAAAGGGGGGGGGGGAGCTCAGAACAGGGTCAGGCATGGTTTCTGGCTGGAGGTGGGCTCCGAGAGGGCTTCTTAGTGGTGGCATATGACCCGAATCTTGATGAACGGGGTTGTGGGGGGGATTTCTCAGATTGCAGATGGCAGAGACGATAGGTCCTGCATTCCAGGTGAAAGGTACTGTATGCGCAGCTTTGGCTGTGGAAAGCAGAAGAGTATTGGGGAGAAACAGGATCCGGGCCAGGCTGGAGGGAGGGGTGGCTGGGGGAGGGGACTGGCAACCAACCCTGCATGGCTTAATGTTGAAGAGTGAGCTCTGGAGTCAGACAGTCTGGACTTGGATCCTGGCTCTGTCGTGAATAGCTGCGTGTGATCACAGATATGTTCCTTAACCTCTCTGGGCCTCGGTTTCTTGATGTGTAACATCAAGATAAATAACAATACCTATTGCATAGGGTTGTTTGGAAGAGTAAACAAGTACTAAATGTGAAGTCGTAAGAACAGTGGCTGAACATGCTCTGAGCTCTCTAAGCATTAGCTGTTACCTTGGAAGAGAACTCCAATGCCACGATAAGGAACTTGGGCTATCTCTTGTGAGCAGTGGGAGCTATGGATGGTTCATGAACAAAGGCGACAGTTTATTGGAATTGAGCTGGGGTTGTGTACTGGGAGACAGAGGTTTGAGAGGTGGTGGGCAAGATTCTGCAGTCCTGAGGGGGAGGGAAGGAGCATCTTAGATGCCTGGGGTAGGGGCCAGGGGCTGGGTGGAGTCTGACTCCTGGAGGGGGACTTCCCAGGCCCCTGAGGTCCAGGAGGAGAGAGAATTTGGGGTAAAAGGCAGCCCCCCAGTTCGTTTCCTCCTGGCTCCTAGTAGTGCTGCAGACTGATGCTTGGGAGGGAGGAAGGTGAACAGTGGGCGGGAGCTAAATAAACCCCTGCAGCCCAGGACCTGGCCTCCTGGGTGCAGCTTCCCCACTGAGCCCAGCACCCAGCCCAAAGTACTCTTCTGCGGAGCTGCCAGGCCTGCTGCAGCTCCAGCTCCTGCACTGTTAGGGAGCCCGCCACACCCACCTCAGCTCTCCTCTGCCCTGTACCCTGGCCTTTGCCAAGTAGGGGCTGGGGAGTGGCCCCTTAACCCTTTCACCAGCCAAGAGCCCCCTCAACCCTGTGCCTGCCCAAATCAGACCATTACCTGGGCCCAGCCACACCCATTTACCCCAACCACGACCCTCTCCAGGCCTCACTAGATCTTACTCTTAATTCTCCCCCCTGTTGGCCAACCTCTGTGGCTCCTCACAGTGTCCTCTGGGCTCTGAGCAGCTGGGCTCTGTCGCCACCTGGGTTCCCTGGCAGCCTGGTTGTCATGGCACCATGGAAGCAGGTCTGGTGGAACAACAGCTCTGGGTAACCAGGGCAGGCAAGGCCCAGTGCGTAGCTCCTGCCACTCTTCCGCCTTGAGACCCCTGTGTCCCTCCCCCAGCTGAGCAGAGAAGGCCATGAGGAGAAAAAGGAAGCTGCCCCGGAGGGCAGCTCTTTACCTGTGAGGATGCTGCATGGGAAGCGACTCCCACTGTCACTGAGCCCTGTGCCCTGGCAGCCAGGGAACTCTGGGAACTGGCCAGGCCCAAGTCCAGGCCTCTAAGGGCAGGGGTGAGGCTTCAGGGGGCGGGGCTGGGCAAGGAGGGGAGGGCGTGGATACCTGGATGCCAGGAGTGGGCCTGGGGCTGGGACAGGGCTGATCTGGGGTGGTGCTGGGGACAGACCTGTGAGGGGAAGAGGTCTGGGGGGAGGGGAGCTATAAGGGAAATGGCCCATTAAGGTGGATTTGGAGGTGGAGCTGTTAGGTAGGATTATTAGGAAAAAAGGGGGCTTGTGGGGACAAGACCAGGAAGAAACAAGTCTGGTAAAAAGTCGGGGGGGGGGGGGGGAAGGGGCGTGGCCACGAGGGGACCAGGCAGTGAGGGGTGAAATGGGACTGCAGACAAGACTGAGAAGACCACACCCTAAGGGAAAGGAGTCGGAGGATGGAGCTGTGAGCAGGGATAGGGCCTGTGAGGGGAGAGGGCCCGTGAAGATAGAGCTGTGAGCAGATGGGGCTGAAGGGGAATGAGGACAGGGCTGTGAAGGCAAGGGGGCCGGAAGGGAAGGGAGCATGAGGGCAGTGAGGGGGCAGGTAGGACTATCTAGCTTGGGGACAGGTAGGACTGCTTTCTGGCCTTTAAGTATTGGGGTCCCTGTATCTGTGAAGAAGCCGAGGGGGATGGGGTTGCGGAAGGGATTTGGTCCACATGCCCAGTCTGGCCCAGCAGGCATCCTTTGTTCCCACATCCTGGCTTATCTTATCTAATCCCCACAGTGTGGAGGGTGATGCCCCAGGCAGTGACCTGAGCACAGCGGTTGATAGTCCTGGGAGCCAACCCCCCTACCGGCTGAGCCAGCTGCCCTCCAGCAGCAGCCATATGGGGGGTCCCCCTGCTGGGGTGGGCCTTCCCTGGGCTCAGCGGGCTCGCCTCCAGCCAGCCAGTGTGGCCTTGAGGAAGCAGGAGGAGGAGGAGATAAAGCGCTCCAAGGCCCTGTCGGACAGCTACGAACTCTCCACGGACCTGCAGGACAAGAAGGTACAGAGGACATGGCTCTGCTTGGGAGTGGGAGTAGGAATGGGGCTATGAGGGGACCAAGGGAGGGGTTGGGATGTGGCACTTGAGGGAGATATGCTTAGAGGGATAGTGAGACTGGAGGGGGAGAAGACTGGCTCCAGGACCCTTCGCCCTATTGGGGGCTCATTCACCACCTATTCACCAAGTATCCACTCCCTCAGCAGATACTAATTCAGCTCCCTGCTGGGCGCTGGAGATGTAAAAATGAATGGGACCTGGATCCCGTTCTCAAAAATCTCTGTCTGATGGGAGAAGCACACACTTAAGTTGACAATTTCAGAAGAATATGCTACAATATATCACATATACCACACAAGATATTGCTTAGCTAAAGGGAAGGGCACAAAAATACTACATATAGAAAAAAAAAAAAACCTGGAAGGGCATATACTAAAATTTTAATTGTGTTTATGCCTAGGTGTTGGGACTTTAAGTGAGCCAGCCAACCTTCCTTCCTTTCTTCCTCCCTCCCT